CTTCGCAGCAACCGTCGATGTTCTAGCCAATTATTATATTTTTATATTTCATATATGCTATCACTAATATTTTTATTGCGTAGCACTTGAAATGGCTACTAGTTCACCAATAAATTTATCAGTGCTGTAGCCGAGAACCATATCATTTTCATTCCTCGTTTCATGGCTGTTTTGACTAATGTTGTTACATCGTTTTGTGATCAGCTTTCTAGCAATCTTAGTGCTGCTCTCCTGGAAGGATTATCGCCTCACTGGGCTCCCTAGACAGGATCATTTTAGCAAGGTGTATATTGAACGTCACGACCTCCTCCGCAAGTCTTGCCAGTTTTAAACTAAGTTGAATTATCCGGGCGTTTAAGAAAAAAATTGACTATAAACAATCACAAAATCAGAATTATACTGTGAAGAGAGAGATTGTTGGAATTAAAGTGAATTGCATCAAAGAGCAGTTCTTGTAAATTTGGCCTAGAGTGATTCTGCTCCTGCAAAAAAGAGTAGAAAAGGATGGGTGAGCATACGACTGTGATAACCCAGGTGATTTGTTTTTTTAAAAAACTCGAATATAAGTTGTAATTCCTGAAGGTTACGCGAGCGTTATGCGGATGCGTCGCCGCTGTCCGAGCTGGAAGCCGAGTCTGGTTACGTGAACAACGCGCTTCGTGGTCAGTTATCCAAGCAACATCTTGTAAGAATATTTACTTCATCGTTTCATATTTTATTTTGCATGGAGAGCCATTTTTGTAAATTTAGCTCTGTTTTCTTTTTTTTTTTTTTGTCGTTCCGTGTGTCTTTTCTTCACCAGTAAAGCATGGAGCACGACTAAACAGCATTCATAGGCGAATCCGGGAGGGAGGGACAAAGGGTTTTTCAGTGCAGGCAAAATTTCTGCAAAAACCCAGGACTGTTCATAAATAAAACTAAAAAAAAACTCTAAGTAGCAGTGTTACAACTCTTTTCCTAGTTTTTACATAGTTCCAGGGCGGGAGGGAGCTCACCCCCAGTTGTCCACTTCCTCTCTCCCAAGTGTCCGTCCTGGATCCGTCTATAACAACATTCCAATGTTTCAAATTGCAGGTTTACCTACGAAACTCACCAGACTACTGTGTGGAGGACAGCAGAACCGGTTCATACGGCACCACAATGAGGCAAGTTCTGCTCTTCATATGGTAGTGTGGGAAACTATAGATCACAGGGGGCATAGCTCAGTGGCAGAGCATTCGACTGCAGATCGAGAGGTCCCCGGTTCAAATCCGGGTGCTCCCTTCCCTTTTTGCGTTTCCACGAATTTTCCCCTCTGGCTGCTTTGCGCAAGCATCGCATTTTCAGCGTTACCCCAAATCATTACAGCTAAGAGTACCACGCTGCACGCTGAATCCTTGATTTTTCTACTGCCTAGCTTCCATTTTGTACTCATTCTATTTACGAAAATGGACGTCTTTTCAAGAATCGGCCCCAAAGTTTCCGGATTTCTGCTTTGCGCTGGTAGTCGACTTCTTAAGGCGGAAAATATGGGAAAAAAGACAACTACGGGTACCAATCGACTGCGAATCAAGCACTTTTTATGCGTTTTGTGCAGTGTAACAGCGTTACAAAGTGCATATTGTCACGGGGTTGTCTGTGTGTGTGTGTGTGTGT